GGGGACGTGCGTTATCGTCCATTAAAACAAAATTAGGGCCAACTTCTGCAGCATACAGTCTCACAGTGGGTTCTCGGACTTCATCTCACACCATAATGCTTTCGCCTCGGAATGCATGATGTTCGGTGATGTTTTTTGACTGATTGCGTGTTCATTGTTCATGCCATATCCTTATACTTGTGTCATCTGTCTCCAGAGCAAATCTTGACTCATCAGTAAACATGACATTGCCCCAGTCGGACACATTCCAATTGACATGTTCCCGGCACCACTATAATCGTTGCCCTCTTGATTGGACGAATAGAGGAACACAAACTCGAGGTACCCGGGTGTACAGTCCACTCATATGTAATCTTTGGCGTACAGTAGCTGCAGATATCGCCTTACCAATGTACGCTGTAACCATAGATGTCACACGTGTGGAGGTCGCTCTGCGATTCCGCTTGGCTACAATAGCAATATATCGATCTTCCGCGGGGTTTGTAACCTTTGGGCGACCGGCTGTGGGTCTTCGGACAACTGTTTCTGTGGTTTGGAATTGTTTCCGTAAACGTGAAATTACAGACTGATGAACGCCGAAGAAAAAAGCATTATCTGTGATTGACTGTCCTGCTTCAATGCGCCCCACAGTATGCCAGCGCTCAGAATCTTCCATTCGTCTTCTGGAAGTCAAAGTCATAGAAACACGTGTCTTGAAAACAAATGGTAAAAAAGTTTTAAACACCTTCTATAAGCATTTACAATGAACTTCCGTAACCCTTCATAAAGCTGGCTTCTTATAAGACTGCCTTTTTTGCATATTTCTTGACATGAAAGCGCGATTAGCTGTTACCTAACATATTTGCATACTTCCATCTACCTCTGCAGCGAATTGTATCCTCTTCAATTCTGATTGGCTTCCGGAAATTAGCATTTTCCTCTCCGTGCTTAATTTTTGGAAATCAGTGTATTTACTAAAGTAATATTGAGTGTATTATCTCCTAATATAAAGTTAATAGAATGTATCAAAAAGAAGTAACCCAGAAGCATTGAAATTGAATCCCGAAAATAATATTTTTTGAAGAACTTGAATTTTAATCATGAAAAATAGAAATGGAAACTTTTAGAAATGAAAATTGATAAACTAAATAATTATCGTCATTGATCGGAATTTGGTTGACTTTTCAAGCGGAGCAAACCAACTCCTGTTCAATTAACAATAATTAATCGATACGAAGATGTTTCGTCTTTTAACTCAAGTAAAGAGTATGATGCCAAACTGCCAATTTGAGTTTAAGCCAAACTTGTAAGTTGAGTTTTAATTCAATTAGTGAGATTAAAGTGAAGTACTATAAAGAATTCATTATGAACGTAGCAGTTCCGTTAAGTTTATGAAGTTTTTAGAAATTTTGAGATATTATTACCAAATTAAGTAGTAGTAAAAAAATTTCTTTGCTAGATTCAGTATTAGTAAAAAAAAAAAAAAAAAAAAAAAATTCCCCCCTTTTTACTTGAGTAAAGTGTCCCCCCAACACTCTCGTTGTTTTTTTTTTTTTTTTTTTTTTTACTTGAGTAAAGTAAAATGTCCCCCGACACTCGCTACACATAATATAAATGTATCTAATAAAAGTAACTGTTCTTTTTCTTCCATAAAATTCGCCAAGGTGGTTACGATAACATCGAAGTACCAAAATTCAACAGAAGAAAATGGAATACGGTAATGTTAATCTGATTTACTGTTTCCCAGAATAAAAGCATGGCTTTTTTTTATATAAATATATACATATATATATTTATTTTTATATAAGTATGGTGGGCACTAGCCTTTTTCTGCTTTCTCCACTTTCTAAGTAGCAGAAGTCATGGTCATTTTATTTGAGGCTACCGTTATCTACTATTAGGAGACAGACAGTTTACATCCATGCCTTCTCCGGGATTCGAATACGGGACCTTCCGTATCGCAGTCAGCTTCCCCAATCAATATACCGTCTATGCAGCATGAAATGAATGAAATCAAATGAAAAGATAAACTTTTAAGAATGCTTCAACACCATGCATGGAATGATGAGATTTAGATGTTGAAGGATTCTTTAAAGTATATCTTTTTTATTTGATCCTTGCCCCCCTAAATATGCACTATCATCATCGTGGGATTTTTGATAGAATAGTTTTTAAATAAAATACGACCATCAATTACCGGTTAATAATAACTATAAGTAATTCAAAATTTCCTTAGTAAGGGCATAGAATAGTTCACCTACTCAGATTTATTTTGCGCAAGATTTACACTAATATGTGATACATTTTATGAAATAGGCTCATAATTTAGACCGTTTTAAATATGTGATCGATCCCTCTATGTTCTTTAAATTTTCTGCCTTGCTTATGCTCTTTCCTGTCCTTAAACTTTATAGTGTAATCACAGTGGGAGATTAAGCAGTATACTTAATTGGTAATCTTACATTCAGATCTGCTTATGTTTTTTTAAGGGGGAGGGAAAAAAAAAGAAAGAAAAATATGGTCATCTTTTGGTAACTATTTTTAAAAGATAAAACGCAAAAACATGAACTTATGATTAATTTTGTGCTTTCTTAAATTAAGAGAGTGGCTTTTATCGATTGAATACGAAATGTTTTTTGTTTTTAAACGTCGTTCAATATGTTTAACGTTTTTTGTGTATTTTTCCTGTTTTATATCATAATTCATCTTACACATTCTTGGGTTAGTGCATTACACATTAATTCATAGTGAATAATCTTACCTTGCATTATTGTTTTGTTCTGATTCATTTTTAGTTTGTCATAACATAGTAAATATTCTCACTGCATTATATTAATGAATTTTAAACCAGGACGGAAGTGTTTTTTTAAACATGTTTTCCTCATGGTAAGGTTTGCCTTCATGGTAACATTTGAAGTTATGCACTACAAATTTACTAACTCGCGGATGGCAGAAATGTTGTTATGGTCACCCCCCCCCCAAAAAAAATTGTTAAAAAAAATTTTGGGGGTGGTGGTGGAAAGGGGGGCTACATATTGGACTTTTTTAATTAATTCATTTTAAGTACAGACAGTGTAATCAGGTATAATATTTATGGTTTATGTTTATAATGCATATGAAAAGTGATTGAGAAAGAAAATTTAAATGATAAAAGTTACTATTAATAATTTTAGCTCTTAATTCACTTCAGTTAATGCTTCATTATTTCAGATATTAATTTTTGCTGGGAAAGATGCTGCTTTTGATATTATGTTTAGATATTATATTATGCAAATTAAAAATTTTCTACTTTCTAAGAAAAGGGCAAACAGTTATCTCGACACAGAGATAACTGTTTGTCCTTTTCTTATGCTTTGACTTCAGCTCTGATAATGCTTTAATAAATAATTGTGTACAATTATTTTAATTCACTGTATGAAAATAAACTATATAATGTAAAATGTAGTAAATGCAGTAAAATAATTATGCAAATAAATAATAATATGTAAGAAAATTATTGATGATAAAAAGCTTATTTAAAATATATTATTAAAAAATTAGATATTAAAATATTACTTTCGGAAGGGCGTTGATTGTGTTTTTAAATTAAATAGTGTTCAGATAGGTTATAGAGTAGGAACCATTTAAATTAAATAGTGTTCAGATACATTATAGAGTAGGAACCATTTAAGTTAAATTTGTCTTAATTATAATTTAAAGTTATTAGTGTACAGAAGGAAAATTAATTTATTGTAGTTAGTTTATGATTAATGTGATTTAGTGTAATGCTGTAGGCCTAGGCTAATTTAGAAACAAATACAGCCAGTTTTAATGCTTTCCTGTTCCTTCTTCTCTGTTCATGATGGAGAAAAGAAAGATATATTTAGTGTAGGTTAGTCAATTTATGGACTATAAAAGAAAATTGAAAATATTTCATCTATACTCATTCTTTATATTTATTTATTTATTGTTTATGTTTGGCAGCACAAATTAACTTTTATGCAGTGTTTCAAATAATTAATATTTATTAAAAATATTTTTTGTTATTATATTATGAATTATTTTTTAAATATTCTAAATGTTTATCAATCATTATTATTAAATTCTTAATACTGGATTATTAAGAATACTTTCTTTACACATAGAATGAATGAAAATTTTCTGTAACAACATCCTGTTTTTATTGTGTTTATGTAACGAATTAAGAATAATTTATTTAAGTGTAATACAATAGTTTTCTTGTTTTCAAATTAATCTGTTGATTCTTCCATTTTTAATTCCTAAACAGTATAAAAAATGTATAAATGAGTATTAATATGTGATAAATATAGACCAAAAGGATAATGGAAACAAGCGATAAATGTGGGAAAATGATATTGCTTTATCGAAAATTTTTCAAAAATTGTAAGTTACAGCTTATAAATTGCTTTATTCAGATTGAATTTGTTGAGCTTGGCATCAAGAGTTTGCATATCTTGTCCTTTTTATTCGCAACATATAAACATGTATGTCATCTCTTTTTCATCTTTGACTTTTCATGTGTTATATAGGAATCTAGTTTCTTTGAAGGCATAAAATCTTATTGAAGCAAGTTTTTCAAACAAAAGTCAAGATTTAAATTCAGTCAAAGCCTTCACGATAGCTGATGACTACAAAGAATAGCTATCAAAAGCTATCCTTTGTAATCTTACTGAATATTTTTTCAAATGCATTTTTAACCACCAAATCACCCCCCTTCCCTTTAAAGTCATATTTTCACTGTACTACTGATACTGCTGATTCATATGTTGGAAAAGTATTCGCTTTTGCAAAATAATTTGTTTTGATTCAATAAATTCAAGTTTCTGTTACTGTTTAAATAGTTGTTATGAACTAAAAGCACAACAGTGTAATTCACAATTAAAATGCTACTTAACAAGATATGCTTTTTAGTGCATATCAAAATATATGTGGAATAAATATATTTTATACTTGTCCAACCGTTTTTATTTTTTCAAAACATCATTTTAAAATCATAAACTGAAATTTTTTATTTATTATAGGTGAAGTTAGAAAGAGTAATTGGACTAACAGTGTCAAACAATGCTGCTTTTGACTGTGATCCTAATTCTAGCATTGTTGCTTATCCTGCTGGGTATGTAGTGTGCTAATTATTATACCAAAAATTATGATTTAACTAGCTGTTAATATTTGATATCACGTGCAAGTTGTTTTCTAAATAATAAAGCATTTTTTTATTAATTATAAAATATTTATATATCAGAAACTTCAAATTAAACATTATGTAAAGTGAGAAATTTAACTGCATTCAATACTTGAAATTTAGGTATTCATTAAAACAGCCACCACATAAACATAATTACGTGATTCTGAATTGTGAAGCATAATTATAATCACATGTAATCATAATTGGGATTGTGAATTATTAATTTTTAGAAATAGTTGTCTTTACCTCATCATATTTTGTTGCCACTATGCTACAAAACTTTAATACAAAGAAATGTTGTCAATACGTTTCCACATACTTCGAAGTTTGGATTTGTTCCTTCACCGTCGAACTTGCAATTACCTATGTGTTTACTTTGTGACAGTGTTATCTAATGAGGCAATGAATTTCATTTGCAGGAGCGTCTGCTAAAAATTCACCCTGTCAACCAAAATAAAGATTTGTGGTTTTTCACGAACATTCAAGTTCCTAAAAGCGCCGTCTGTCTCGGCTTACTAGTAGCGCCATCAAAACAATGTGACAATGGCTTGATAGCTTCCTATGATGGCTTGATAGCCTCCTATGATCAAAATTAATTGCTATATTGAGGAAAGCTCATACCATCGGCGAAGAGTTGTTACTGCTGGCTGTTGAGGATGTTCCAGCCGCATCCAATATTATAAAAAAATGTCCCATTAATCAGTGATACAGTGGGACAACGAGTTGATGAGATGGCTGAAGATGTTAAAGCTTCCTTGTACAAACTTTTGAAACTCACCGAATTTTCTCTTCAGGTTGATAAAGCAACCTTGCCAAGTACTAATGAGGCTTTACTGTTAGTGTACATCCGGTTTGTGAAGAAAGGAAAAATTATTCAAGGGAGACTTTACTGATGGAGCTCCTGCGGTGTTGAGTCATCATCTTGGGTTCATTGCCCTTTTGAAGAAAGAGATACCAAGTATTTTAGCTGTTTACTGCATGATTCATAGGCAACATTTAGTTGCAAAAAACCTCAGCAAATGTTTGTATCAGTCATTACAGTATGTCATCTCTGCTGTGAACAAAATTCACAGTAATGCTCTCAACAATCGAGTATTCGAGCAGCTGTGTAAGGACAATGGTGAAGAATTCGATCTCTTGTACATACTGAGGTTCGCTGGCTCTTCAAAGGTGCCTGCCTTAGTAGGTTCTGGAATCTTTTTGACTCCGTACTTGAATTCCTCACAGAGAAAAATGTAGTTCTGAAAGACAGATTGCTACAATTTAAGATTGATGCTGCTTACACGATCAATTTATTCGCAAAATTCAGTATAATTAATTTGCAGCTTAAAGGCGAAGAGCTCTATTTGATCACAAGGAATCTGTTATTTCTGCCTTCCCTTAAAAAAAAAAAAAAAAAAAAAAAAAAAAAAAAAAACTAATTTTCGTGGAAGCAAAATTTTGGTCGCAACGAATTCAGCTATTTTCTCTGATCTTATCGGATCTGCACGAGAGCAGTGAAATCCTGTTCGATGAAGCACAAGTTTACTGTCAACACCTTGAGTCTTTGCACAAGGACTTTTATGATCGTTTTAAAGATATTTTATCCCTGGAAGTCCCTCAATGGATTAGTAACTCTTTTATGAATATTGAGAAAGCAAATGTTCAGATTCAGGAGGAACTAATCAAACGTTCAGCTAATGAAACTTTGAAAGCCAGCTTTCAGAATGGTGATCGTCTCACAGAATTTTGGCTTCAGAGTAGCATCAGTGGACTCTACCCAGGATTGTGGACTATCATCAAAAGCTTTTTGATTTCCCTACCTCCTACCTTGTCGAGCGAGTATTCAGTGCTGTGACTGATCTAATTACAAAAAAAGGTGGGAGAGAGAAAAGTCAACCTCAAATCATGGAAAGACAGTATTTGCGCCTTCACCTCTCTAAAAATATTGAACCAAATGTTCAGAAATGTATTTTTTGCTGTTCTTTTTTTAATTAAATAATTAAGAATAAAGAATTTTGTTTTTTGTATTAGTCATTTCAGTATGAATCAAAGGAATATAATTACCTTCCATTGTAAAACTATTGAGTTAAAAAAACGAATTCGGTGTGTAAGGTCTATCCAAAATTTCCAATACCCTAAATTACAGAAATTTCACATGGGGGCATTGAAAAGTTTTTCGTTCCTTAAGGGGGCAGCAGCTTAAAAAAGGTTGAGAATCACTGATTTAGAGGGTTAAAGATTTACAATTGCCTCAAAGTCCTATAGCATGGCATATTGAGAAAATGAGTGAAAATATTGGAGAGCGGTTATATAACTACATTGATAGATGTTCTTCTGTTTCCTTTCAGTTTGATGAATCGACATATATATGTGATGCAACAGAATTGCTTATTTTTTATTCACATTGTTCGAAAATATTATACAGTTGAACAAGTTGTAAATCTTTAACCCTCTAAATCAGTGTTGTTGGATGCAATTTCTTTATGAAAAAGGACTAGGGGTGTAGGTATATTTAACTCTTAAAAACTTTCTCACTAATTTGGAACTATTACTCTTTAATAACAGATGGAGCAGGAGCAATGACAGGTCACATAAGGGGATGTATGCCAAAATGATGAAAAATTATTAAAAAGTTATTTACTTACCACTGCATATTTCACTAACAAGTATTAGTCAACAAAAGATTAAGTACAAAACAAACAACGGATATAGCGTTCAAAGCTGTTAATTCCATTTGAGGAAGTTTCTTCAAATAACATCTCCTCCAGTTACAACATGATGGACAGGCAGAAAGACAGAAAGACCATTACTTACCGATGTAGGGTACTAAGTAAATTTCTGTAAGGACAAAGATTGAAATTATCAGTAGCATAAATATGTACAAAAAATTATTATGCTGAAAGAAGATCTTCAATAAAACATTTCCATTCACTTTCCAAATATGTCTGATCACCTGCAAAAACTCAAAACTGTAATTATAATCAAAATTATTAGGTACTTATGTGCTATAGCAATCATCTTAGTAATAGTTGCCAAATTTTCAGAGTGTACCAAACTCTGGCAATCATGCTCATAACAATTCTGCAGCAAATTTGAAATCCCCACAGTAAACTAAATTTCTTTGAACCTTATTTAATGCAGTGAGGAGCGTAGTGGGGCATATTTGTGCCAGCAATTCAGAAAGAGGTTAAAGTCTAGACTTGAAATTTACAGTTTATTATATAAAGTATATTCAACCAAATCTATTCATGAATAGTAAAGTATAAAAGCTGTAATGAGTAGTAATAGTCATTATTTTATGTAAGTGAATTTTATGTATTTCTTTTTTTTCTTTCTTCAGTTGTGTTGTTGTGCTGTATAATGTTCGAAAAAATAAACAAAGCCACATTCTCAGTAGTTCTAAAAAGACAATTACTTCACTTGCATTTTCATCAGATGGCAAGTATTTGGCCACTGGAGAGGTAAGCAAATTATAAATTATTAAAAATTATGAAAGCTGTATGTATTTATGTTACATATATAACTTCTGGGAATTATAAAAGCTTTGTATCGGAATGTTTTTATTAAATTTATAAAAGCCAATAATTTAGCGATTATTTGTTTTTTTTATTAGTATTTTAAATTAAAGCTATACTAAAATTATTTCATAATCAAAATTTACTCTCTAGACATACAAATTTTCAGATGTGTGTTGAGTTTTTAAATCTTTTTATTACAATAAATATTTACTTTTGAACTACATAAAATGTAGAAAAGTTTGAATAATTCTGTTTTTTTTTTTTTTTTTTTTTTTTTTTTTTTTTTTTAAATTTGTCTGTTTAATTGAAAATTTTGTCTGCTTTGTTATAGTGTGGTCACCAGCCTCATGTCAGAGTGTGGGATGTTCAGGAAAAAGTACAAGTAGCAGAGTTTCAAGGACACAAATATGGAATAAATTGTGTTGTAAGTTTCTCAGCCATTTCAAGGCTCAAAATATGATATATTTTATGATGTTTTAATGCTGTCAAAACCTGTTTGATTATATGCCTGTACTTACTAAGCAGTTCTAAATGTATAAGTTTTAAATATAAAATAATCATTTGTAGAGTTAAGTATAGGGGCGGAATATTTGGATATTTTTCAGTTAATAGGTGTTCAAGAAATACACCAATTTGAGCTTCAAACTTGTGTAAATGTCAACCATAAATGTTTGGTTTTATGGAAAAGTATTCTGTAATAGCAATATGATTTGGTGTATGAAGGAGATATGAATGTTTCAAAGTCTGAAAATGCAAACAGCTTCTCTATCAAACTAATGCCATCCAGGTCAAATTTTGCGTAATTGTAAGTTTAAAATTTTATTGGACTAGCTGGGACATTTAAATACTTTTTAATAATTTTGTTGTGTGTTTCTGTTTTATTAAAATAAAAATAAAATTAACATTTCAATTATATATTTGCTTTATATTGCTATTAGCAATAGTATTTATCATTATTTTATTTCTATGGCTCTTTTTGTTCATTTGCCAACGTGAATTGTACCTGCTTTTGGAACAGCATTGTATAATCGAGTATTTAATTTAAAATTATGTTAACAATAAATTGTGCTCCAAAATGTGCTTAAACTTTTTTCTAATTGTTTCAAATTTTAAGAAATTCTCCGAGATTTTTTTAAAAAAAAAAATAGAGATTTTTAAAATATATATATTTTTTTATTTCACAAAACATTTGTTTGCTTTGGTATTTTGTATTAAACTGTGTATTGAATAAAACTATCATATGAATGAAGGCTTGTTATTTTATGTAAAGTTAATGTAATAGAGGTTATAATATTTTGCAAAATATTTTCAGTATTAAATTTTGCTGTTTAAAGAATTACTCTTTATAACACAAATTACAATGTAAAAAAAAAAAAGGCAAAATATGTAATTATAAAAAAAAAAAAAAAGTGTGATACTCTATGGTCGTATCAGACAAACATACAGTTACCAGACGCAAATAAAAATAGATGATATATTTTGTTTAAGATTTGACACATTCAAATGACTCTGAATAAAAATCAGTAATAAAACTTTTAAAAAAGGTGCAACATAAAAGTTTACTAAGGTTTCATTTATACGACGTAAGTAAATTGACTATACTGTGTGTGAAATATATTTTTATACATGCATATTTTTATTTTGCATTAGCTTTCACCAAAATTATTTGAAAACTGTACATGATGTAATTTTAGTGTTTCAGCTGAATTTCTTGTGAATGAGAATTTTCATCTTTATTAAAAAAGTATTTTATCTTTTCATTTTTAGGCATTCTCACCAAATCTGAAGTATGTTGTATCTGTTGGTTCACAACATGATATGATTGTAAATGTTTGGGATTGGAGAAATAATGTTAAAGTTGCTTCCAATAAAGTTTCATGTAAAGTAAGAGTCTTTTTTAAGTAATAAAATTAACTTATAAAGTGGAAAATGTGCATAGTTCTTTAAAAATTTAATACACCTCTATACAAAATTAATTCTACACTGAGTGTAAATTGAGAAATGTAATTATTAAGAAGATAGAGGAAAAGCATATGCAAATTAAACATTTATTTTCATAAATTTACATGATGTGGAGAATTAGTTACTGTGTATTCTGGTGAAATGTGTATTTTAGTGTAAACCCTACATAAGCTAGATACATCAGGGGTTATGCAATTTGTATGAAAACATCAAGATGCAAAGAATTTTTTCCTTTAATATAAATGTTTAAATAAAAGCATCAATTTGATAATTATCTCTCATTTTAATACAAACTTTTTATAACGTAGTTTATACAAATTTTTTTCACTGAATCTAAACTGTTTTCAGCACAGCACTTTGGGTTTCAAAGGAGCTTTTAAGTCATCTTAAACTTCAAAAAATCAGCAAATTGCATCATGGCTTCTTTGTAAGTTAGAATGTCAGGTTCATCTTGTAAGCTTTCTTTTTCATCTAGAAAATTTACATATTTGAAAGACTGTACTAAAAAAAGTAAATAAATAAAAATAAAAATAATAATTATTATTTATTTCTGCTGCATAATTACTGACTGTTGGGTATTTTTCAATTTCTGTATCTTCATTTTTTTAAGTGTCACAGTCTTTTTTTCTCTCTTGATGTTTAAGGAAAATCCTACAAGCAGAAAATAATTCTATACAATGGGTTCTGTGACAGAATGCTAAACTGAATCTATTATTTGTACGGCATCCAGCCCTGCAATTTTAATATCATTATAACCATGTTCTGTATATACTTTTAAACAGTATCTTGGAGTAGAATTGCTTAAAGTTTTAAATATTTAATCTAAAGTTTTGTAGAACAGATATCATGTTGGGAGGTAAAAGCCGTAATATAATTGCCAAGAGATTTTTCAGTATGAGTATGGGAGTTATAAGAACTATTTAATTTTTTCTATTTTTTATAAAAAAATGATGGCCAGATTTTCTTAATTCAGCATTAAAAAATTTCTTTCATTATTAAAACTTTTCATTGTTGCATTGCTGTCATATTCAGCTGAAAATTATCATGCATTGGGGTTGCTTAGATTTTCCAATAAAAGAAAAAAAAATTAAATTTTATGTGTTCATTTATTTTTATGCTTAGCTCGAACAAATAATCGCCTTCATTCTCTTTTTTTCTCCACCATTGTAAATTTCTCTTTTGAAAGTCATTGTTTTTTCAGGAAATAATCATAAAGTATACGTGTTTCATTACTGAAAATTTTGTATCCTTTGTAATGTTCAGCCTATGGAATTCATGGAAATTCAGCCTATGCCCCTGATTATGAGTAACTATTAAAACACTATTAACATCTCACTGAAACACATATTTCATTCGTATTGAAAATTATATTAAAAGTACAAAAATCTTACTTCTTATACAGAAAACTTCACATTTCCATGTCACCGAAAAGGAACTTCATGAAAAGCAAGAGCAAACCAGCAAATGCAAAGTAATATCAATAAACTGAAAGTGTTATATAGCCAATTTTTATTTATTGTAAACATAATAATCATAGCTTACTTAGCAATGGTGCCATCCATCAACAATTAGACAAAACAAAAACAGAAACTTCCAGTAATGCAATTATAAACAAGAATGCAGATGATTCTCATAAAAATCCATCAAGTTGTCTATTGATAGGGAGAAAAACTGTGTTATTAACGACTACAACAGCATGTGTTTGTAATTCAAAAGGAAAAAGGATTCCAGTTCACGCTATTATTGATAACAGCAGCATATCCATGGATGCCAATTCTCACTAGATACACTTGCAAAAAGTAGCTAAAAAGTCCCTAAATTCAGGAATTTTGCTAAAAGTAGTAGCTAGAATAAAAAAAAAAAGTATAATCTGTATTCCATAATAGGTTTTGTTACTCGTCATTTTTTAAACTGAATCTTCATAAAAATATAAATAATGTTCTAATTTTTCTGCAGACCATCAAAATGTTTTCGCGTACCACCAGTTGGCGAACGCTGATTTAAACTGAAAAATAATAATAATGAATAATAATGAACAGTAAATGTTCATTATGGAATAATAAAATTAAATTGTGATTTAGTTCTTACTAAAAAGTTTAAGTAAGCATAAAAAAAAAAAAAAAATTAGATAATTATTCAAAAATGTGTGAACAACTTTTAAATTTGTATGTCAGTATTAATTATTACTAGTATTTAAATAAATAGCTGTAATTCATTCTATATATGAATGTGGAAGTGCCGTATTATATTTCTTTCTGAATGTCATTGAACTGAATGCATAATAATATATTGTTTTCTATTTCCAGGTTAAAGCACTTTCATTTGCATCAAATGGAAATTATTTTGTAACAGTAGGAAATAGACATGTGAAATTCTGGTATCTAGAATATTCCAGATCTACTAAAGTGAGGATTTTTTTTTTTAAATGGAAAATAAGTTTTAAATAATATAAACTAATTAAATGTGCATCGGAGATGAAGAATATTAATGTTTTTGTGTATGTGATTCTTTGGATAGAGTAAATGAAATCCTAGGTTTTTGCAGTTATGATTAATTATCCACCACAATTTTTTTATATGCCTTACAGTCACACATTTATCCTACTCTGCAATTCCATTTTTAGTTTTGTTCAGATTTGTACATCAGTATTAATTCATAACAGATTTGGCCTCTGAAAGGTAGGTTGTAAGGAAAGTTTTACAATTTTTCTTGTACATAATGTAATTTTAAGTCTGCAATTGTCGAGACTTTCTGGATTCTAGATCATTAATTCAAAATTTACTTTGGTGACATGTAAAAATTATAAAAGTAGACTATGAAATATTTGTTTGGGAAATAATGAAGCATTTTTATGACCTTAACCCTTTCAGAACGGGCATCCCATATACGCATTCCCTAAGAATGTTTCTTACAGCCGGCTGTCCCATCCACGCATCACTAGAGATTGCATTCAGGGGACGGGTGATGCATATACGCATTTTAAGCTGCAACGTTTTTCTGAAGGCCACTAGATGGCATTTTATGTCCATTACTTTTGAAATGAACACAGTTTTAGGTTCCTGACCTTGAGTTTGATATATTCTGTCTGACTTTGACTCATCAACTGTTGCGAGGGTGGGGGGAGAAGCGTAAACAAATGAGGGCTCTTTAAATCACCGTGTGCTAATATAAATATTGGCTTCTATTTTTTCCCTCTACTATATACGGTCTTATAGGGTTAATATGCTGAGTCCTATTATGTTTTGAATTGCCTTCAGATATATTCCCGTTTCTTCTGTTTTTTATTTCTGAAAGACTCACATCCAGTCTATTATGGCAGGAAGGTGCTATTTATCAGAGGAAGAATACTCTCCTATGGTTAGTGAACCATTTACTAATGCAGATGAGAGTTGATTCTTTTGAAATGCAGATGAGAGTTGAAGGTGCGCCGTCACGAAAAGGTTAAGGATACAAAAATTCCTTAAGGATTATTTTATTTTATTAAACATTTCGGTACTTACGTATTATCGCAACCAGGTTGGCACGATTTGTAAGTTTGAGTAAAAAAGTATGAATAGAAAGAAAATGTACATTTATTAATTACAGATAATTTTTAATACAGTTTTTTTATATTATTTTGTTTTAAAATATAAAATAGCAATTAAACCCTTCCGGTTTTGAATTTGAATAAGTTGCAGGATTATTTTTTCGGCAGAAATCTTTTGGCTATTGCTTTTAGAACTGAGTGAAAACCGTCTTCGCCATTAACAGCTTGAGCTTGGCGCCGTATAAATTTGATAAGATATGAGTCAAGATGATGATGGGCTGTTCCTCTCTGTTTTTTGTTGTGCCATTTGGCTGAGCCCCACATGCGCTCTACATGTTGTGTGTGAACGCCCGTGTTGGGATCCACAAAGTTATATTTGTGATTAACAGTTCCATGCAGAAATCCAGCATTTTCGAACTCACTTGTATTGTATCCTTTCCAGCAATCCGAATAAATGATGCTTCCTTCCTTGATATTTTCGCAAATTTTTTCCATGAGGGTAACGGCGCTTCTGTTAGGTACAGTAACCAAAAAAGTCTCTTTCTTTTCTCGGCAAATTCCGCCGAAAACCCATTGCTGTGGTAGTACACGCCCAGTGTTATTTTTTCTTTTTACAAAACTATGTATAACACGTAGGGTTGTTGTAAGTAGGGTCACCAAATTTGGCGATTTGTGCGAATTTTGGCCTGGTTGCGTTAATACGTAAGTACCAACATTTCTTTTAATCTAAGTTATTTAAAAAATTTCATTTTTTGTTTTGGTAATTTCTCTTTAATTTTATAGAGAGATGTAATTTCTTGTTCAGTAACAAAGCTCTGTTGTTTAAGTCTCATAATTGTCATGTCGAGAATTTCCACTAAAATGTCAACTAAAATCTTTTTTGTTTTTAACAATCTCTTTGTCATATTCTTCAGTATCAGTGGTGATATTTTTTGGATGAAAAACCAATCATCTTCATTTTTCATTTTTTGCATATTACATTTACAGGAAAAATTTTTGGTTCTTTTTTACTAAAGCCATAGATAACACATGTCACTTTTTTTTACATATTTTCTTGATGCCAGGTGTTACCAGTTTGGTTTAATTTCCTGACTGAACCTTTTTTCAGAGTCTGACTTTAATTGGACCCCCCCCACTCCGAAATGGGTTTTCATCAATTTGGAATTTGCCAAGAACAAGTGGTTATCCTATTTCCTCAAGAATGAGGTGTTCTGCAGCAGAAAGATTGTGTTTAAATAACCACCTCATGAATTTAAAATGTAACTCAACGTTCAAATGGTGGCATTTTCCAAATTAAAACTGTATTATAGGTTTTGCCATTCTATTAACTGATTAATACATGAATAACTGTAATTCATTCTGTATATGAATGTGGAAGTGTTTTTTTTTATATTTCTTTAACATAAATATCTGCAGTGGAAGACTTCTATTATATCATCATCACTATTTCACATATTCAATAAATCGTAAAATTCCACTTTTTACTAGTGATATATTGGAAACCTTCAGTCTTCATCATCAGTTATCATCTTCATCATGAAAGCTGGCTACAAATTATGCCAAGTATTTAAATAAATTTCTATACCTTAGATGTTTCTTAAGTTTTCTAAGTGTAATGCTTCTTTATATTAATATATTTCAAGAATTCTTGAGTGGTCTGCATCAAATTTAAAATGACTACTTTATATTTGCATTTCATCGCACACAAAATTCCAGTATCCATTGGTTAAATGATGGGTGTATAATTTCAAGGAAAGAATAAACAAAGATTTTATCATTTATTAAAACTTTTAATTTTGATAATGGACCTAACAAAATGATAAACTGCATCAAATAAGAAAGTTAAGGAAGAATGAAATTCGCAATGCACTTAAAATCAATGAAACTGCACTAAAAATCAATGAAATCTAATTCTTCCTGCTTCCCACTTATGCCAACTGAAGAAAACTAGTATGTTCAGCATTCCATTTCAAACAAACATGGGTCTTTGGATTTTACATGTTGCATACATGTAAGGACTGATACTGGACTAGATAAGAGAGAAAACAAAATGTTACCCTTCCTCCACAACCACTGAAGGGCCAAAATGAAAGTGAGATTTGCTAAGCTGGCATGTGTTTAAAGGCAAAAAAATATGCAGTGATATGCATATTTGTATATCGTTTGTATATGCATGTACGAACAATATGCAGCAAGCTGAATTATTATTCACCAGTTAAAGAAGCATTAAAAAAAGATATGTCAATACATTGCTCAAATATAATTTTTCATTATTAATATCTTTTGTGGTTTCATCATATAGTTCAGATAATCTTTGTTTATCTTTTAACTCATATGCATGAACTGTTAGTGTGTGTGTATTAATTTATGGCAAAGCACACTAGGGCTATCTGCCTAAGGGGAGGGATGCCTTTCGTGGAGGACTTTCTAAGGGAAACTGGCTCGTATACACGTTACACATGGGGAAAACCACGAAAACGCCCATGCAGCCAGCCCGTTCGCGGGATTCGAACCTCGGACCGAACTACCAGTGTTCAGCGTCTTTACCGCTCGGCCGCTGGTGGGCGCATGAACTGTTAAATGGAATTAATTGAACTTCTTAAAAATTTATAGCTCTTAATTTCATTCAAACTTCTTAACTTTTATTCTTCAATGTAAATAATGAAGTTGTATATTTTGTCTCATGACATTCATATATTAGGATTACACTTAGTTAGATAAGAGAATCTGTTATTTTATTTTCTTTAATTCTTTCCTCTTTACTTTATTTTCAGTATAAACTGGAACCTGTGCCATTGATGGGGCGGTCTGCTATTTTAGGTGATCAGCGAAATAACTATTTTTGTGATGTAGCTTGCGGGAAAGGTGATATGGTTGATAGTACTTATGCAATTACCAAATCTGGCCTTCTCTGTGAATTTAACAGTCGTCGTCTTTTAGACAAGTGGGTTGAATTAAGAGTAAGTTAATTTTCTTTGTCTCAGGACTCTAAAAATGTTTGTTTTATGACTTTTTTTTTTTTTTTTTTTTGTTGTTTTCTTAAAGAAATTTACTAAAATTAACATTGTGTAAAGATGTAGCATATATCATGCAAAACTAAATGCCTTGATGCTGAAAATTCTTTCAATGCAATGTTAACCCTCTAAGCGGCAAGGCCGCATATATACGGCTTAGAACATTTATTGTGATATCTGTAAGAACGTGTATATACGTGCATATTAAAATATGTCAAGAAAATTAAGGCAATATATCAAAAGAAAACAAATCCAGGTATGAAATATCAGTAGAGTTTTTACATTAAAATCAAAAAAATAATTTGTTCTAATAGTAGTTTTGGGAAATTTGTGCTTCCTTAGCGAAAACCCTGGCCGCCCAGAGGGTTAATAGATATATATTTATCATTTATTGTAAAATTTTATGATATGAAATACTTAGTTATTTAAATACCACTAAATATTTCTGATAAATATTACTCAGACTAAATGCTGGGTGATTTGAAAGAGCATGGCATGTTAATTTTTCTGTATAATTAATTTTAAAATTTTGTTCTTTATCAACATTTTTGTTAATAAAATTAACGTTGTGTAAAGATGTAGCATATATCATATAAAACTAAATTTCCTGATGCTGGAAATTCTTTCAATGCAGTGTTAATTTAATTTTTTCCCTCTGTAGCGAAGCGGTATCTTAACTTTAAATTAATAAACCTAAGAATACATCAATGCAAGTGGACTGTAAATTAACCTTTTATGCAGCAGTTTGAACTTTCAAACACAACACAGCACAAAGTAAAACGACAGAGTTGCAATTTTAAGAACAAAATGAAGGAATAAGAATGCAAGAACAAAATGCGAGCTGTGCATACAATCTGCGCATTGCAAAATAATATCTCACAGACAGGCAGAGAGCTCTGTTGGGCAAAACATTCTGCCCGGCGTTGAAACATCGTTTCAAACTAAATAGCTTTTACAAAATGAAATTATCATAACAATATTAAATTATGAAAAAATGTATCATTAAAATATTCACAAGAAAACATAATATGAAATTATGCAAAGAAACTAAATTGTTCTCAAAACAGATGCACAGAAGCCTTGATACAATTCAGGAACTTAATTATAGTTAAAGTAAAGTACAAAGTTATAATGCTTTAGGAAAAAAAAAACTTAATCATTGATAGGCAAAACACTAAGTTTGTGAATTGGCCTTTTGAAAACTCCGTTAGTAGTTTTGATCTTCACGATACGCACAATATTATCTGAGCTAGGAAAAACTTCTAGCACTCTTCCTAATTTCCATCGTAGCGGGGGTAAATTGTCTTCCTTTATTATAACTAAATTATTAACCTTTAAATTAGGTTGCACTTTCAACCATTTTGAACGTCATTGCAAATTAGAAATGTATTCATTGGACCATCTTTTCCAAAAGCTTTGAAACATTTTCTCAACAAGCTTCCAACGTTGCAATATAGGAATTTTTTGATCGTGTAAACTTTCTTCTGGTAAGGCAGTTAGCGGGGTATCAATTAAAAAATGGCCTGGCGTAAGTGCAGAAAATTCTGATGGATCTTCAGACAGTGGACACAACGGTCGCGAATTTAAACAAGCTTCAATTTGAGCTAGCAATGTCATAAATTCTTCTTGCGTTAGAAGTTGTTCACCTATGGTTCGCTTGAGATGTAACTTTGTAGATTTGACTGCAGCTTCCCATAAACCTCCAAAATGTGGCGCTGCGGGAGGATTAAATATCCACTTAATACCTTCAGTAGAGCAATATTTATTAACCAATTCATTTTCCTTCAAGGAGTTTATTACTCTTTTCAATTCCTTATCTGCAGCAATAAAATTTGTGCCACAATCGCTATGCACTTGTATTGGTTTTCCTCTTCGAGATACAAAGCGCTTCAAAGCGGCAATAAATGATTCTGATGTAAGATTACCTACTAATTCAATATGTATAGCTCTTGTAGTAAAACACACGAATACACAAATGTAGCATTTCATTGGTTTTACTCCTCGACCTTGCCTGGGCTTCACTTGAAATGGCCCGGCGTAGTCAATTCCAACTTTGGAGAAAACCTTTGACGGAACGACTCTAGACGATGGTAAATCAGACATTATCTGGGTAGATGTTTTAGCTCGTACACGATGACATTTCACACATTTCCAAATCTGTTGTCTTACAACTGACCTAGCGTGGATTATCCAATATTCTCTTCTAATTACTGATAGCAATAGCAGGGGGCCTGCATGAAGATGGGATTCATATATGAAAATGATTCACTATAATCTGTGTTATGTGATTTCTTGGGCAACAAAATAGGATATTTTCTGTCCTGCGCGATGTTGGATTGTCTTAATCTTCCTCCAACGCGTATAAGTCCATTCTTATCGATAAAGGGGTTCAAAGAAAGGATCTTACTATTTGAGTTTAACGGTTGATTCTTTTTCAGAAGATTATATTCATTAAAAAACTCATCCATTTGAACTACTCTAACAATTGCATTTCTAGCGTATTGCAATTCTTCGGTTTTAAGGTAACCCTTAATCCTTGTTGCGGTAGATTTAGCTGAATTATTCGCAAACCGAAAACACCATGCGATGATTCTTTTAAGTTTCAAAAATGATGAAACTTCATTAAGGACTGGAATTTGCGAAGCGACTGTTCCAATTGAACAAGAAATATTTTTCCGTTGTTCCCTTAAAGACTCTTCTGAAAATGGTAAGTTGATAGAGAACGGAATATTATTTGAATTAAGCCACTGAGGACCTGTCCACCACAAGTCATGAGTAGAAAGCTCTGAAGGCAAAAGACCTCTTGATGCGCAATCAGCTGGATTCTCCTTTCCTTTTATGTGATTCCAATGCGATGAAGGTAAGACTGATTGAATTTCTGAAACGCGGTTGGCTACGAAGGTTTGCCAGCGTGTTGGTTCTGATTGTATCCAGGACAAAACTATCATTGAATCACTCCATGCGTAAATACTGTCAACATGAATTTGCAATGAATTCTGCACAGCTTGAACCAAATGCACTAATAGAACTGCAGAGCAGAGTTCTAAACGAGGAATAGAGATTACTTTCAGGGGAGCTACGCGAGTTTTTGATGTTAGTAGCTGCACCGAAATTGAAGAATGATTTGAAGACTTTAAATAAATCACTGCGGCGTAAGCTTTCTCTGATGCGTCACAGAAACAATGAAGTTCTACATTTGTAGATTTGGGCAATAATACTCTCCTAGGAATATGAATGCATTCAAGATTTGCGATATCTTCACAATAGATTTTCCATCTTTGATTGATTTCATCTGGCAAGGGATCATCCCACGAGATTTGTAATTTCCATATGTCTTGAAGCAAGATTTTTGCTGCAACTATAAAAGGTGCTAACCAACCAAGTGGATCAAAGATTTTCGAAATAGAAGATAAAATTATTCTTTTAGTAGAACACTCTCTGTTTTCGAGATTTCCAAAGTGGACAAGTAAACTCGTCTTGCGTTGGATACCACTCCAAACCCAATAATTTTATTGATTTAGTATCAACTACTGTACATGAAGAATTTGAGTTCCGAGCACTCAAAGCAGTTTCCAAAATCGAGCGATCATTTGTACACCATTTATGCAATTGAAAGCCACCTTTTTGTAAAAGTTCACTCAGTCAGTTGTGAAATTCACTCTACTGCGTCTTCTACTGTGTCTGAACCAAATAGGACATCATCAATATAACAATTGTGTAATATTATTTCAGCTGCCTTTGGGAATTTAGTTCCTTCGTCAATTGTTAGTTGTTTGAGTACGCGAGTAGCCAGGTATGAAGCGGAAGTAGTGCCGTACGTAACTGTGCACAACCTGTAAGTTTTAATCGGCTTCGATGGATCATCTCTCCAAAATATTTTTTGGTAATCGCGATCTTCATCATGAATTTGAACTTGTCGATACATTTTCAATAAGTCGCTAGTAATGGCTATGGGATAGCATCTAAACCTCAAAAGAATAGTAAATAAGTCGTCTTGTACCTTGGGACCATTCATTAGCGTGTCATTAAGCGATATCCCTGATGTAGTTTTGGCACTAGCATTGAAAACGACGCGTAGTTTTGTGGTAAGACTGGATTCTTTTAGCACGTGATGATGAGGTATATAATAATGAAAATTTACTTTATCTGGATTATCATCGGATAATTCTTCCATGTGTCCAAGTGATAAATATTCGGACATGAAGTCTTTATACTGTTGATATACTTCAGGAGTTTTTATTAATTTTTGTTCCAGACTAAGAAACTTGCGAAAGGCTGATGGTCTGGAATTACCCAACTCATTTCTTTTAGGCTTGAATGGCAGTTTTACTGAGTAACGACCCTTTTCACTACGCACGTGATTTTCCACGAAATGATTTTCACACAATCTTTCCTCTTTAGTTAAAGGTTTCGATGTGGGAATTTGTTCCAAATCCCAAAATGATTTAACTAATTCCTCCGTGTTTACGTTTAGCGTATTGACTGAAACCTGCTTACGGTTTGGGAATTCAAAATGTGTAGTTCCAGCAATTATCCATCCTAACTTAGAACAACATGCAAATGGAAGATTTTTGCCCCTTTTAATTACCTCGCCATTTATTAAAGTAAGGAATACATTAACTCCAAGTAAAATATCAATTTCTCCCGATTCATGAAATGTAGGATCTGCTAAAGTTAAATCTTGGAAATTTTCATATAAATTCAAAGGTAATGTTACACTTGGAATGTTTCCTGTAATTTTGTCTATTATGTAAGCGGATGTTGAAATTCTGTAATTAGTATTAAAATGAGGTGTAAACAACAACTCAACTTCTCCAGTAGTAGTTGTATTGAAAGTACCTAAGCATGACACTAATATCTTCGAATCCTTTATGCTCAATCCTAAATTGATAGCTGTTTTCCGACGAATGAATGATTTTTCACTACCTGAATCTAGTAAACATCTACAATTTATGAATTCATTTTTTGAGTTTTGAACCTTAATTAAAGCAGTACACAAAAGTACATGACTACGTTTACCATTAGCATGAGCTCCAAAATGTTTATTTTCATAGTTGTTTGCACAAACAGTTGGAGAAACCTCACTCAAGTTGTTTTCTGGTTTAATTTGCGATTTCGGAACAAACACTTGTGCTTCCGGTGAAGGGAATCTAGATGCATTTTTTGGTTTGAAATTATTTTCTAAATGCAAAATGCTATGATGATGCTTAAAACAATGCTTGCAGGTGTTTGCACTCTTACACATTTTAACTTTATGGACATTAGACAAGCAATTAAAACAAAGTTTATTAGTCTTAACAAACTCTATTCGTTTTTGCACTGGTAAATTTAAAAAATTAGAACACCTGTATAAAAAATGATCTTCTTTACAAAATAAGCAGGTAGAATTAGTAATCAGAGAAGTAACCCTATTATACACTGGTTTATCTGATTTATGCGTTTTACTAATTAAAGGTTTACTGTTCTGTAATGTTCTAGCGTAATTCTTCAAAAATTCTATCAAGTCATTCAACTTTGGTATTTCGTCTTTTTTTAATTGACGCTCCCACCACAACTTTGTCGAAACGTCAAGTTTTTGCAAAATAATATACAACAACAAAGTATCACTAAAATTATCTATCCTTTGATCTAATATTTCCAATGAGCGAGTTATTTCGTTTACGTTATCTACTAAACTTAATATCGAGGATGCAGATTCCGTTTGTATTTGTGAAACGTTAAGAATTCTTTTAATAAAAGCAAATATCTGTTCTCTCTTATTAGAAAATCTCTCTTCTAGTAAATTCCAAGCAATACTGAAATTTTGATCAGCTATGGGAATTGACTGAATAATGCGATAAGCATCATTTTTCAAAGAACTCTTTAAATATTGTAATTTTTGAGCTCCAGAAAGATTTGGATTGTTGCGAACACTAGCGTTAAATAAATCTTTAAATGTTATCCATTCAGTTAAATTTCCGCTAAATGTGGGTAAAGATAATTTCGGTAACTTTCAACATTTCACCCAACGAAGTGAAATCAAGTGTTCTTTCTCTTGTTCTTCTCAACGAAAGAGATTTAAAATCTTCCTTAAAGATTTTACATTTTTCTAAGATTAATTCAGCTTCAGCATTATCTAAGTTATCATAATCTATTCTCTCAATGAATTTAGTTAACTGTGTTTTCAAAATTTTCTTTCGCTTTTTTTCTATATCTGACATTTTGAAAATATTCTAAATTCTCGATTTTACTAATACTTTAAACACAAAAATAGTAGCAATAAGGAAATCTCAAATGCAATTAAAATGCGTTAACTATTTCACTCACCTCGCACACTGTATCCATTCCGTAACTCTTGAGAATTCTAAACCGAAATTGCATTATCAACTCCATTACGGACACGTAGAATTCTTATTCACAAGCGCGGGTTTTTCTCGAAGCTCCGGCGTAGGACGACCAAATAATGTAGCGAAGCGGTATCTTAACTTTAAATTAATAAACCTAAGAATACATCACTGCGAGTGGACTGTAAATTTAACCTTTATTCGCGGTTTGAACTTTCGAACACAACACAGCACAAAGTAAAACGACAGAGTTACAATTAGCGGTTTTAAGAATGCAAGAACAAAATGCGAGCTACGCATACAATCTGCGCATTGCGAAATAATATCTCACAGACAGGCAGAGAGCTCTGGTGGCCGAAACACCTATATAAAATTTATGATAAATATTACAGTTTTTAAATACCTAAATATTCTATTTACGAGATTAAAGCGGGATATTTGGAAGAACTGGATTTTTTTCTGTATAATATTAAAAATGTTTCTTTGAAAACATTTACTAATTGTAATAGGGTTTCATCAAAATTTTTATTTCTAGACTACTAGTGCCAACAGTATTTCAGTAGGAGAAAATTTAATATTCATTGGTTGTGCAGAAGGTGTCATACGATGTTTCAACCCTTATAGCCTTAATTTTATATCCACATTGCCAAAGCCTCATGTTTTAGGAATTGATGTTGCAAAAGGTTTAGTTGGAAGGTAAATAACACCTCAAATTATTTTAAAATATGTCTACTATTTTATTAATTAATGTAATGAATTAGTTATCCTCTTTCTTGATTTTTCCCTTACATTAGCATTGTAGTGGATTATTTTGATTAATGCATTATACTTATATGTTAGTTGAGATTTTCTCTTCCTTCTAGGACAAAAAAATAGCATTTTCTGATATTTATTTAGTTTTGTGCATAGAAGAAAGATTCTCATCATAATAGCTATATACCAAAAAGATAGTTCTGCAAATTATGCACATATAAAAATCCGTGTGTAGATGCAAAAATAATATTTGTTTGTTATGGAAACTTTTTAGATTGGCCATACTTTAATCAATCATTTTGAAGTTTTTTCGTTTCCACCCATATAAAATACGATCTTGTGAGCTAATTTGATACAAACAATTTTTCACAATACTTTCACTTTTCACATTATCTACGAACATGATAGTGTTTTATGTTCTGTATTATCTCCATATGATTTTACCTTCTAGATCTGAGAGAAATCTAACCTAGATTCCCTTAGAGCAAAGATGTCAAACTCGCGGCCCACAACAAATATTTTTGCGGCCCGGCCAATATATCGGCAAATAATAATATTAACAAAAATAACATATCGATGAAGAAAATCATGAAATGTTATGCTAAGTATTAACGATAATTTATTCAGTGTTGTTAGATACTCACAGTGAGCTGACACACACACTCCTTAAATTACAATGCGTGTGAGAGCTTGCGTTTAGCTACCTTCGGCTTTTGGGGGACATGTGCCTCAGAACTTGTACGCATCCCCCGATAGCCAATGTGGTCGAACATGGTCTCAGTTTCCAATCATAGTTTTGTACGATATACTTTGGTGCATACATGGTGGCATAATGCATGCCACTTTGCTTATTATTAATTATTCTAATTTATTGCTTTCATAGTTATTTTTTTTAGTTTTTTTTTATTTAGAATTGAATTAGATTTGCTTCATGTTGCCTTGTTCAACTCGACAATTTTTGAAAGACAGCTGCGTGGAAGGTTAAAATAGAACAGCGCGTGCTTTATAACCTAATAAATAATATCTAGAATTGCTTGCCATCCACAAAAACAAGATATTATAGATGTTTCCAGTATATTCGAGAAACTAATTATAAGCTTATAAGCCGAGAACAAACAACTCATCTCAGTAGTAGCTGTAGTTCTAGCGAACTGTTGGTTACTTAATGCGGTGATTGATTGTAGCGATTTCGCTGTGAGATAGAATTAGGTTTCTCTGTTTGAATTGATTTTTGCTAAACGTTTGACATTTTGTGATATTGTTAATATATTTTTGAAGAAATTTCGCATTTTGATTATCTCTTGTGGAAAGAATAAATTTTTGTAACTTTTTAACGTTACCGGTGTTATTCCAGCCCTTGTATTCAGATGTATATCAAAACCAAGTGATAGTAAAATTAACGAAATCGCTGACGAACATAGAATATTCAAGTAAAATGGGAATTAGAATATTTTGTGTGAAATAAAAGATAAATAATCTGCTTATATGTAATAATACTATTAATGTACCAAAATTATAATATAAACGTCATTAAACAACACAAATCGAATAACAATTACGAAGATACTGAGAGAAGAAAGTGAAAGGCTCAAGTTAGGAGTGAAAAAGCAACAGTCCTGTTAGAAAGTTGCAAGAAGTGAAGCGGCGGTACATGCAGCTACGTCTTGTCGAGTGATAACTAAACATTCGAAGCCTTTTACTGCGTGATTTCATCAGGAAGCTAACGAAAGCTGAGAAATTGTTTGTCCTGGAATGTGAAGGTTTAAATCAATTTCATGTCTCGAATACAGTTGCAGAAAGAGTTATGATTGCCGAATTTAAGTGATCAGATCAAAGCAAATCATTAGTGTCGAAGTTTCTCCATTGCCTGTGCCGAGAGCACGGACATAGTGGCAAAGCTCATAGCAGTGTTTCTTGTTCTTGGACAAGAATTTTACATTTTTGAGGAATTAATTACTGGAACTAATACCGATGCCTGGACTACCAAGGAGAAGATATATTTACTTGTGTTTTGGACTCTGCAGAAATACAATCTACCTTGGCAAAGTAAATCTCTAGCTACAGATGGAGCTCCATCAATGACGGGAAAAACAAGGGCTCGTAGCATTACTAAAAAAAACTTAGTGAAATTCGCAGTTCAACATTCATCATATGCATTTATATACATCAAGAAGTCTATGCACGAAAGTATAAAATGGAGAATGTTTTGTCATATATTTAGATCTCGAGGTTTAAATCAGCGTCAATCACTGCTTTCTTAAGTGAGTTAGATAGGATATTCGGGTTTGTCTACTATACCGGGTACGTGGTTTCTTGCTCCAAGATTCTAAATTCTGTCATTTGAAACAAGAATAGGTCAGTTTTTTAAAAACGAAAAATCAAGACGTAAGTGTGGTTTTTACGATCCAATATGGATACAAGATTTATCTTTCTGTTGATATAACCAAACATTTGACCGATTTAATTTATCGTACAAGGAAAGACATATCATTACGAACGTTTGACATAATTAAAGCATTCATGTCAACTAGTTCTTTGGGAAAAACAACAAAAATGAAGATTGATGCACTTCCCGACGTTGAGCTGAACAAATCAAGTTAGATGATACTTATTCGTATCAAATACCAGAAAAATTGCAAATTTAACAATGAATTTGAAACGAGGTTTATGATTTAGTTTCCTCGAAGACAAATTTTTTTTTTTGTTTTCTTCGATTTTCTCATAAGATTGCCTCAGTACCCAGCCATGCAAATGGAGGTGATCAAGATTCATGCAACTCAAATTTGAAAGCAAAATTTATTGAAGGGGCGTGCGGAATTTTACAATATTACCAGCCAGGTTTGAAATACTCAAAAATCGCTATAAAATTTTTCCATTGTTGGTAGCACTTGTGGTACGAGCAGTTATTTTCATCTGAAAGAATAAGTCTCTATTAGAAACCGTATTATGATGCTCCCTTGGGGTCAGCATTATCACTGAAACAAATTTCTCCCGAAATAGGAAAGATAATAGCAGAGAAGAGATGTCAAGTATCAGGATGTAAACATTAATTTTTGTTCTTTTCTATATAAATATATATATGTTATTATTAATTATTCGAAAAATCTACGTTTCTATAAATATCGGAATTTTTTTTTTTTTTTTTTTTTTTTTTTGCGGCCCGCCTAAGTTAAACCTTGTTTGTTTGGCCCAAGTGTACCTATGAGTTTGACATCCCTGCCTTAGATGAATGATAAATATATTTCTTTTCCAGTCTACATATGATTGTTTTAGAATGAATAACTTTGCTGTGTAGTGCAGTAATCTTTAGTAACCACATGTAGCTCTTCAGTCCTCAAAATAAGCTACTGTGGTATTTAATTCCCCCCTTACTAATTTAATTTATGCAAAGAACATTTTTCACTGCACACATTTGAAATTTTGATGGTTGAAAAGTATGTCTTTTTCTCATTGAGAGTGGTGCACTAGGCAGATTAACTTTTTTAAAAAGTATTTGCAGTATCTTAATCAACTTTTTTAGCGATGAAGTTTATAAATCATAATCAAGATCTTATATTGCTGATGAAAATAAAGGCTTTAAAATATAAATTTAACTCCGCAATTAAAAGAATTAATCAGATATCCAATTTTTCTTTAACTTTTGATTTGAATTTTGAAATAGCACTTCTATAAATTATAGATTTTGTAGAAATGGTATTTTTTGTGTTGATGTTGATTGTAAGTCCTCTTTTATTTAATTATTCTTATGTTTCTAATAGAATACAAAATACTGAAATACACTGAAGGGCCATTACATTATGACCATCCTGTTAATAACATGAGAGAACACCTTTAGACCTCAAAACTCCCAGCACACAGTGTGGCATTGACTTCACATGGTGCTGATACATAGTCTGAGGTATCTGGTACCAAGTGCTCCTCCAACTAGTACCGCAATTCCTGCACATTACGAGGGGAATAGTGTCGCAGCAGGAATTTGGTTTTCCAGGTGGGACCACAAATGCTCTATTGGATTAATGTCAGGTGATTTTGGAGGCTAAGACATGACTTTCAAGTCACTGGAATGTTCATCGAACCACTCCCTGATGATTTGACTCTTATGACATGGTGCATTATCCTATTGGCAAACACAGTCCACTGCTGGAAGTACTGTTGCTATGAATAGATGAATCTGGTTTGCAACGATATTCAGGTAGCGCACATACATCAGGGATTGTTCTGTGGAGAGTATGGATCCAAATGTGCTCCATGAAAACATTGCCTACACCATAATACCCTACCACCGACTTGTCTCCATCCAACTTTTCATCTGGGAGCCAGAGTTTCATTTGGAAATCAGTGTATTAGCACACACCTATCAATTGATGACCAGATAATGTGATTCGTTGGACCATGCAACTTTCTTCTAATGTCCAATTCCAATGTTTCTTGGCCTATTGTAGACACAGCTGCCGATGATGTGCCCGTTAGTGGAGGGCTCCGGCTGCGTAGGCCCATATACATGTAAAATGTACTCTGCACAGTGTGTTGAGAAACACTGTCTGCGTTGCCATTGTTGTAGCTGGTGGTGATTTCAGCTGTTGTAGCTCTTCGGTTACGACGAACAATGTGTGGAAATCTCTGTTCTACTCTGGAATCAGTACGCTTTCGACGACACACTGCTGGCCAGTGACTTGTCATTTCACCACCCATACCCCACTTTTGATACGTGCTCACAATATCTGCAAGTGAAGAGCCCACTAAACAAGCCATTTCTGGTATTGATGTTCCCAGTTGCCTAGCCATAACGATTTGACCTTTACCAAAGTCTGATAAATCAGCTGTTTTTCCTATTATGTCGCTAATTGCACTATGTTTGGAAAGACAATGAATGCATAGCCACTTTGTATACTCCAACATCAGCCGTGCACGTGCTGTGGTTTTGTTCTTGGGCGAGCCCATTTTTATAGATGGAGGCTGGTCATAATGTAATGGCTCTACGGTATATATAATAAATATATAATATTTAAGTTTTTAAAATTATTAGCATTTTTATGTAGTTATCAGAAAATTTCATTGCATGTATGTGGCTACCTAGCAGTATTTTTACTGCACAGCAATGATATATTTTCGTTATTGAATTTTCATTATTGAATATTAAAACTTTGCTTGACATGGCTTTCTTCACTTGACATTTGTCAAGCATGGAATTTTTTAGAAGTGTAGAAAATACATTTAAGTTATAAATGACTATATTTGAGATATTTATTTGCAGTTTCCTTGAAAAAAAAGTTGTATATATTAACTTTGAGAAAAAGGCATTAAATTTCTGTTTGAATTTACTGAGATGAAGTGCTTTACAGTAAAGTTTTTAAGTAGAAATTGGCTGACTGTTGTTTCTACAGGTTGACTGTTCCTTCTGAATGTCTTAGAATAGTGGCTGTCAACCTGTTTTGCCCCCATGCATCCCTTTTACTGTTGCTAGATCATTTCTACTCCCCTCCTTACCAAAATTTGCAAATAATAGAAAAATAGAAAGAGATTCAAGAAAAGCAGAAATTGTTTATAAATGCAAAACTTGAATATAAGTAGTTTTTTAAAACTAACTACTGGCAAGCAAATAAAGAGGCTGACTGCATTTCCCTATCCCCTGGTCAAGAACACCTGTCTTAGAGTTTGAAAATCAAGTTATTAGTCTGGATGTATGTGCACATATTATATTAAAAAAATGTTTTTAATGTTTCCAGTAAACCTGTTTCATCTCATCTGTCAAATATAAAATATCCGGATACAATTGCCATTGCTTTGGATGCAATTAATAAAAAGGTGAGTTTTGCATCCTTTATTAAAACATTAATATATTTTATTTCTTTTAAATATAAATGCTATTAGTTTCATATAGAGTTTTAAACATAAATTATATTTCTAGGTCACTTGTGTATATAATGATCATAGTCTTTATGTTTGGGATGTTAAAGATACCAAAAAAGTTGGGAAATCTCATTCATTTATGTATCATAGTGCTTGCATATGGGGTGTTGAAGTGAGTATGTTTAAACTTTCCTATACAAATATTGTATTTTTGCAAGTATTTTTGTTAAATTAAAATATTTTGTTAATTTGCCCAAAAAATTACTTTTGAAGAATTGTTTTTGAGCATATAAATATCAGTTCACATGCAATCAATTGAACCACCATTTACGTACTGAAATTTTCTTCATACAAATAAAAAAGTTTTATTGATATTGTTGCAAATTTATGAATTCATAGTAGTATCTTAATAGCTATGCCAGATTAGCAGAAAGAAACTGGCAATTTATTGAAATAAATAACAGCTCAAAGTAGGTTAGGCAAGTTTCTTCCACAGTGGAAGAAATCAACTAGAAGTAGGGGAAGAAACTAATTTATGAGCTTATTTATATTATATATATTATTCATATGTAGTGCTATTTTGTTACTAATTTGAGTATTTTCACTTTTATATAATTTAACTAGTCTCATCTGTATCCTTGGAATAATCTTTTCTTGGTTTCTTGTAATAATTTTGTTGTGTAGTTATGACGACAAAGTGCCAGGATAGGAAGCTGACACCAACACAAAAGGAATTTTGAAGAAATCTCAATCTTTATTTTCATGCATATAAAATAACCTTAGTAGATATTTATCCAATCTTAATGAATTACAGTAAATCTTATGTATACCGATTTTAAAAATAGGACGTGGGCATGTTAGACGGAGAAGCAAAGTAGTGTGGATGTTGGCATGGTGGAAAGGAATGATGTAGTTTTTTGTGCCAAGAGTATTTATACTAAGTGCATGCAGAAAGTACTCTATGATTAGTTAATCTTAGGTTCTTACATAACATGGAAGGGTTTCGAATTTTGGAGAACAGATGAATTTAGGCAGAGAGCACCAAATCTAGAATCATTAAACTTGAGGTTGCCAATTATTTTTAAAGCACTATCATATTTTCTTATATCTTACATATATATGTATATTATATACGCACTTGGAAAAAGTATGCACCTAGAAAGAATTGAACCACAACTACAAAACTTGGCAGTAAATACTGCGTTCGAGTAGATAAACAAATGGTCAAAAATTGGGAGGGGGAGTGTTTTATTTTTGAGTAGTAATATAAAGAATGTGAAAATCAGTAGGTAGTAAAGTCACGCCTGCAGCAACATAAGCCAATACTCAGTTGGGCACGGAGTCTGCTAAGTTGCCAATGACTCATAAAACTTAAAAAGCAAGCAAAGTAAATTTGTAGCTAAAAGCTGCATAAATAATAAATCATACAAAATTAATAAACTTAAAATAAGTTAAAAAAACATTTTGTGCTTCAAACTGCAGTTAATTTATGACTTTTTTAACCTTATTTGAAGTTTGTGGTCGGGGAGTTGAAGATGCTACAAGGGGTGATCAAATGAAAAGGTATGAAACGACGTAAAAACGTAACAGTTAAATATTTACGTATTCCGCCATGGGAGAACATAGCAAGACATCTCGGGATGCGATTGGAGTCTCTGACTGGGATCGGAGTATGCGCAGGAGACAGCAGAGGCTCGTACCAAAAGCAGCGTCCAAATAATGCGGCAGCCCATATGAGAACAGGATGGCGCTTGGGTTGCAAAATTCAACTACTGAGGAGCAGCGAATTGTTATCCGATTTCTGACAGCGGAAGGTGAGAAACCGGCAGCTATTCATTGCCGGATGGTGATATTTTATGGGGAGAAATCTCTGACAAGTCTGTCAGAAAATGGATTGCCTATTTTCGTGCAGGCCGTGAGAGTATGGGTGATGACCCGAGACCAGGCCAGGCGAACACTGTCATCCCGAGCAATCTCATCGACAAAGTGAACGACCTAGGACACGGCAGATTGCGATATCAAAAGGTGTGTGCCGCTTGGGTTCTGAAGCAGCTCATCGATCAGCAAAAGGAACTGCGTGTGAGGCTAGTATTGCAACATCTGTTTCGGTATCAAGAAGACCCCGCTTTCATGGAGCGGATCGTCACAGATGATGAGAACTGGTGCCATCACTACGAGCCAGAGACAAAGCGGGTCAGCATGCAGTGGAAGCATGCGTCGTCACCTCCCCCTAAAAAGTTCAAAGCCATGCCGTCAGCGGGCAAATTCTTGCCCACCGTCTTTTTCGAAGTTCAAGGTCCACTACTTGCAAATTGTTGCCCACCGTCTTTTTCGAAGTTCAAGGTCCACTACTTGTGGAATTCCTCGAGCACAGAAAAACCATTAACTTCGATGTGTACTGTGAGACACTCCGACGCCTACACAAGTCCATCAAGAACAAAAGACGGGCTGCTCACGGAGGGTGTGGTTCTGCTCCATGATAACACAAGTCCACACGTCTCCAGAGTCACACATATGGAACTGGCCAAGTTCAAGTGGGAGACGTTGGACCATCCGCCCTACAGTCCGAACACGTCGCCCTCCGATTTCCATGTGTTTGGTCCACTGAAGAAACACCTGAAAGGGAAGTGCTTCAAATCGGACGACATACTCAAGGACGCTGTGAAGGACTGGGTCTCGCCATGGCCACAGGAATTCTGGGAACAAAGAATCCTGCGGCTTGTTCATCAGTGGGATCGTTGTGCTCAGGCGTATGGTGTATATTTTGAATAAAGTCTACATTTGTACCCACCGTGTCGTTTCGTACCTTTTCATTTGATCACCCCTTGTAAATAACAATTCCAACGTTTTCCACATCACAGACTCGTCAGACCATATTACTCGCTTCCACTGCTCTATAGTCCAGGCTTTATGACTTAAACACCACCTTTTCCTGTTACGGGCATTAGCATCACTGATGAGTGGCTTCTCAATTGCAGCACGGCCAGTAATTCCCTGTTTATGAAGCTCCCTTCTAATTGTTTTGGTGTTTTATGACTATATGATCGGCTTACTTAATTTGTTTGAATTGGTGATTAGACTTCTTAAGGGTGAGATTTATCCTTCCGTGGTATTTTGAAGAGTTCTGTATTGCATTTTAAATGTTGTGTTTTAGGGCTATCTCTAGTTTTGTGTTGAAATTTATGTGTTTTAGGTTGGAGATCTGAATTAGTTTTATTTTAGTGAGAGATAGCAGATTTGTGATTTTGTTGCAGAGGTGCATTTTGCATTTTGTTTTGGTAAATAATTAAGATTTTGATTATGAGAGTAGTAAGTACTAGGTTTTAATTTGAGTTCTTTATGTCGTGGCACCAAAGAGGAGTTAGTTAAAAAGTTAGTTTAAAAGTTAAATGCAAAAGGTAATTTTAATTCTTTCTTTTTTCTACGTAACAATAATCTAAAAATCAGCAGAGTGTTCTAAATTTGCAATAAAATATTTATATTAGAATATATATATATATATATAGTATATTGTGTATTGTTTAATTTTATATTTACCTCTATGTCAGAGAAGTGAAAATGATTCATTTATTAAGCCTAAGGAATGTTTTATTTTCTGTAATTGGGCTGTTTTTTTTTCCCCCTTTTGTTTTAAATGAACTTGCAGTTTTCTTACATGATCTAATGAAGAATAAATTAGTCGCTCCAGGGCTAAAAGATCTCAAGGGTAGATTTAGATAAAATTTGAGCACTAACTGTAGATTAATCTAATTAAATAGTTGATCAGGCTGTGGGAAATTCATTTATTTATATATAAATAGTAATTATTTTTCATTTCTGTTAGCATATTATGTTTTGGTTTGTATTATTTTTAAAACTAAAGTCTTATCTATTGTTTTTTAGATATATCCTGAGCTTCCTGAAGGTTCAAAGAACATTCTTCCTAAAGAAACATTTCTCACATGCTCCAGCGATGATACTATTAGATTCTGGAACTTAGAACCTGTCTTAGAACAAGATACAGCATATCATCGGAACGTTTTTAGTTCTGTAATTGATTTTCTGTTCTCTCTAAAGTTTTTCTTGGGCATAACCTCACTTTTTTCTCTTTATTTTGTTTAAAAGACTTTTTGTGTCATCTCCTGTTAGCAATATTTGGTAGCAAAACTTTCTGTTTTATCTCTGCTGTCATTCAGTTACTTTTTTCTAGGCTTGCTTTATAGAAAAACAAGTGTAATCATAATACAACTGTCATCTTGAATGCATTCATGAAATATCTTGATTAATAATGTTATCATCAGAAGGCTATTATAATATCAAAACTTATAAACCTAACAAGTGTTGTAATATTTTGTGATTAAAGTTGAAAATTAAGTTTCAAAGTCATGAGGAATATTTTATGAAGATAATTAAATTATGGCTGTCATCAATATGAATTTTTTCCTAAATAGGACTTCTCTGTACTTTATTGAATTCTTTACAATTATCTTATGTTCTTTTTAAAATACTAATGTTTGATCAGAGTAATTATTTTGAATTTTCTCATATATTTATTCTGAAATTTTCTGCAAAACCTTTTGTAATTTCTTCAAATGATATCTTTCTTTCTTGTTATGTTTTTTTATTATAGGAGTTGCTCAAAATATTGTATGTTGATCCTGAGCTTTCATACCTGTGTGATACTGATGTAAATACTAGTGAGTAATTTTTTCATCGATATAATATTGTAGTATTGTTATTTAATAAGTCTGTTATCTTAAATGTGTAGAAAACTATGCAAGTTTGCAAATGCTTGTTATCTTATAATTGGTTATTCTGATATTTTTTTCAATATTAAAATGTTAATTGCAGGTGGTAGTAATGACAAAGTTGACACTACATACGATGGAAAAAATGGTGTTAGGTGTTTACGGATAAGTCTAGATGGGAGGCATTTAGCATCAGGAGATCGCTCTGGCAATATTAGGTATGCTTGTGTACAACTTCAGCATAAAACTATAGAGTTGCATGAATTACGTACACACACCGTTTTTTAAACTATTTTTTTAATTAATTATATTTGTTACAACATTATTCTGTATCAAAACATTTTCTATGTTATACACAAAATGAAATTTTATATTTAAACTTATATTTAATATTTATTTTATATTTAATTTATTTATTATTTAAAAATTCAGATTTTTAAGCAACAATGTTGTTCACAAAATAATTCCAAAATTAATACTAATTCAAAATTTTTATCAATAATTCAAAAGTGTAATAATCATGCTAAGATTTAATAGCCTTAATAAATATAATTAGATGTCTTTAAATCTGCTATTTAATTAATTTAAATTAAATATAATTATGAAAAATTAGATATTTTGATACTGTAAAATTTTAATAATTTTCATAAAATAGTGCAACATTTTAAAATTGTATGTAATAAGAAAAACAGTGTTAAATATATAAATTTCAAAATTAATTTTACTAACTAGCATTTTTTGTATGATTATAGCTTAAAATATTTTAGCTGCAATAATTAGAACTTTACTTCATTCATAGAAAATGTGTTGTAAAATTTTGAAATCTATAGATTGACAAACATAATATTAATGAGAAAGAGAGGAAGTGAAAATAATTTATTGCACACAAAACTTGAAGCGCATTCTTTAAATATAAATTAACAACTTTTAAAAACACTGAAACTACATCGTTGAAATGATTTAAAACGTTTGAATACTGCATCTTTGGTAACATGCATCAAATCACTTTTTAATGCAAACAATTAGCTAGATTAATTTTTGAAGCACTAATTTTTTTCACTTCTGGATATCGAATAGATAAGAGCGATGTTTCATATGGATGCAGAATAGCGTAAGTATCCGAAAGCTTATCTCCTTGTTCGTTCATGCACTTATTTGAATTTGTAGATAAACTGTACTTTAAACAGAACTCATTCTGCGCACATGAACTTAGCTTTCAAGCAGGGATTTCCGAGATAGATGATATCTTGTCAACTATACGTTATAAAGCAGATTCATATGTAATGATATAAGAATGTTGATGGCATAGATATAGAAATATTGCCTTTCATAGATGATGATTCGTAATGGACTGTAAACTTGGCAGCCAAGGCAGATTAAGTATTCATTTTTATTTCAATAAACATTTTGCAGCCACAAACAAATTGGCTCAGTAATCATGCCTTTTTATTCAATTAAGTTTCCATTCAGTTAAGTTTATGGTATTCTGACAAGATCTATATGCATTTAAAATTTCAAATAAAATGTTCCATTTCAGTATATAAATTATGATTCCATGGGGCTGTCAGTGACACTTCACTTCTGAATCACATGATACAGTGTGTTCTCAAAGAGAAATTGAAGTACATTGTACATGATGTGCAAGAAGCAAAAAGTGTCTCACCAATGCCATACTTTTTGGAGGACAAAGTATTGCATTGCTTTCTGTCTGCTGATTGCCTGTATGTACAGCAACTTAGTGTTGCTAAATAAAGCTGTTTTATTTTGCATTCATTGCATATTATATTAGAAAGATGATGTTCATCTTGTCATGCTATCGCATTAGGCAGGCTGCATTTTCAAGGTTCTCTCTATATTTGCTGTTGAAAGCAAATTTTACATCTTTTGGTTCAGATTGTTAGTTTATTGTTGAGAGGGAACTCAAATTATTTAAAAAAACATAAATTCCAGTTTAAAACTTGATAGGGAAGGGTCATCTGCTGGGATCATAATTTTGGATTTACTGTGTAATGTGTCATTTTAAATATACTGATATTTTGAAATGAATTTTCAAATTGTCTTCAGTCCTTCTAACACAAATAAAATACTGCCTGTTACTGGAGTATAAAACATGGAAATGAAATATTTCATTAAAACTACAATTCATATCAATAATGTAAGGTGAGTCATGCAAAACTGGACCTGAAGTAACTGTAATAACTGTAATAGTTTAATCCATGCTAAAAATATTAAAGAGAAAAATTGACATGAAAAGTATATATTTTCATTTCATAGAAGGCCATTTAATGCCAAATGTCGGTATTGTTATGAAACCTAATTAAAGTAGGAATAACAATCTGATCGATATATACAATTTCGTGAAAAGAATTATTTTATTAAATTCAAAATAAATGTAAGACAAAAAAACAAATGTAGAAATTAGAAAATATGAACACATATAATTATTCCAAAGGAAAAAAAGGAATATGCACTTTTCACCGCATTGTCCACTTTGAAAAACCTTCCTTCTTACAGCATAATCTTTCAGTGTTCCAGCAATAGTAAAATACAGTTTCATTTGTGATTTTTTTTGAGTGAAATCTATCGATATTAATATCTTTAAGACACAATAACACGCCGAATAAATACTAATTCAGAAGTCAAACAACAAAAATCAGCGTTATACCTACAAAATTTTCACAGGACTAGTTTTGATGGTTTTACCGAACCATCATCTTCAGCTGCAAAACCGCAAATGAACAAGATAGGAAATAATGATTAGATAAGATAAGAAAGCCTGGACAAGAATCTTGCAGCTGAAGATGATGGTTCGGTAAAACCATCGAAACTAGTCCTGTGAAAATTTTGTAGGTATAACCTATTTTGTTGTTGACTTCTGAATTGTATTTATCTTGTCATGGAATTTTAATCATAATCTTTGCCTGGAATTGTCAAATCAATATCATATGATTTTAAAAAAAAAAAGATGGGGAATGGATCGATTCTCTTATTTGATAATGATAGAATATACTTCGGAAAAAAAAAAAATGGTTACCGTACGTCGTGGATGCTTCACGGAATCAACACTGGTAGTGGTGATGCATCACTTTTAATTCACACAACATAACACAGATACAACATTTAATTAATACATTTAGAAAAACTTGAGTAGATATCCGAGCTGGTGACACGATCAGAGACGTTAACGAAGATGGCACTCGTCATCACTGGACAAATTTAGTCTCCACACCTCAGCTCGCTGGCGGAGCTTCCCAAACTCTCTCTCTGACAGGCGTCTCAACAGAATCTCATCTCTTTACGCATGCGTATTCTCAGTTAAGTCGTTGCCATTCACAGTTCTTTAAAATAGGTGTTAAAAAATGAATTATAGTACTCGTGAGGAGTTTGCTAACGACGTTCTCTCTAGTCAAGAGCATCATAGGTCTTTCTAGTAGAGAGTTCAGGAGCGTTCTTTACAGACTAACTCCTTCCGCCTCCAGATTTTGTTTTCCTCGGACACAGAGGAAACAAAACTTTTTTTTAAGTTCCTACGGGATAAAATACAAGTTCAGGCAGGCGTTCGCTACAAACAAACACCTTCCGCCTCCAGTTTTTGTTTCTCCGGACACAGGAGAAGTAAACCTTCACAGTTCACAGTTTCTGGTTTCAATACAGATTGTTCAACATTTTTACCAGTTAATTTTAAACCACACTGTTACAAAGGCTCTCCACTCTCATAACCAGGCCATCATAAAAAAAACACATATAAAATACACATACAATATATGAAAAACCAAACACAAAATTTTGTCTTTAAGAATAAAGCTAACAATTTACTATATAGTATGAATTTAAAAAAAAAAAAATACAATATACATAATCAAATAACAAGACAACTTAAAAGAAATGATAACTAGTCTATTTAACTGGCATGTACAGAGTTTCTACTTAAGCAGTCTACATTTAAGTTGTCACTTCCCTTTTTATGATGTATCGTAAAATTATAAGATTGCAAGGCTAAGGCCCAGCGTAATAATCGACCATTTCTACCTGCATTATTTTTTAGCCATACTAGGGGATTATGGTCCGTTTGAATTGAAAATTTAGTCTGCCCATCTATATACCCTTTCAATTTTTTTATTCCATACAGAATTGCGGCACACTCTTTTTCAGTGGTGGAATACTTCCGCTCACTATCAGTAAATTTTTTACTGAGATACAATATGGGATGTTCTTTTCCTTTATCATCCTTTTTGGGCTAAAACAACACCATATCCTTGATCTGATGCGTCTGTCTGTAGTATAAATGGTTTAGAAAAATCGGGTGCATGTAGCACAGGCCTACTAGATAGCTTTTCTTTTAACGATTTGAAGGATTCATTACATTCATCATTCCAAACAATTTTACCCTTTTTGTTATTCCCTTTTAACAAATCTGTCAAAGGTGCGGGCTATAGCAGAAAACATAGGTATATATTGTCTGTAGTATCCAGCTAACCCTAAGAAAGCTCTAATCTCAGTTTTAGTTGTGGGAACAGGAAAATTTTGAACCGCTTCGATTTTTAGTTCTGCTGGAGAACGTTTTCCTCGACCTACTATGTGACCGAGATATTGCACTTCTTCTTGTGCAAACTTGCACTTAGAGGGTTTAATAGTTAAATTGGCTTTTCTTATTCTTTCTAAAATTTCATGTAAATGTTGTAAATGTTCCTCCCACGTTTCAGAAAAAAAAAATAGCAATCATCTAAATAAGGGGTCGCATATTTCTCACATCCGCACAATATTTCGCTCATCATTTTACTAAAATAATAAGGAGCATTTTTAAGCCCAAATGGCATTCGCAAAGGCCTATATACGCCAAAATTTGTAGCAAATGCAGCAATTTTCTGAGCCCTAGGGGTCAGCGGAATTTGCCAATAACCTTTAGTTAAGTCTATCAAGGTGATAAATTTGGCTGCTGCAACAGTTTCAACACGTTGCTCTATATTGGGGATCGGATAGAACTCAGTACGCGTTATTTCGTTTAACTTTCTGTAATCAATACACGGCCTAGGATCCCTACCTGGTGCTTCAACAAGGATCATGGGTGAAGTATACTCAGAGGGTCCTGGTTCAATAATCTTGTATTTTAACATTTTTTCAATCTCGACTTTAAGAATTTCGTTCTGTCGATTTGTCATTCTATAAGGCTTATGCTGTACGCGTTTGTCACTGATTAGTTCGATATCATGTTCGACTA